CCGTGCTCCCCAACCACCTCAAAGCTTGAATGGTGTTCAAAACGCTCAAACGGTATATACTGGATCACATGCGAGATTCGATATTCACTAACGTTCTCTCATAGTTTGGACCGATTTGTCTCGCTACTAATAATGGTCCCACCTCTTCACAATCGGAGGATTGTCTTTTTGTTAATGTGTGGGCACCGAGTACTGCTACGCCAGCCTCCAAACTTCCAGTATGGGTCTTTATACAAGGAGGTGGATATATCTCCAATTCCAATGCCAATTTTAATGGCTCGACAGTAGTCAGTACATCGAATAATGAGATTGTCTTTGTCAATTTTAACTATAGGGTCGGACCATTTGGATTTTTGACAAGCGAGAAAGTGCGAGGGAATGGTGATTTAAACGCTGGACTTCTTGATCAACGTTTTCTGTTACATTGGGTTCGAGATCATATTGCTCAGGTGTGTGTAAATATCCTGTTTACTAATAATTATAAATGTTAATGAAAGTCTAGTTTGGTGGTAACCCAGATCATGTAGTAATTCATGGAGATTCTGCTGGTGGTGGTTCTGTCGCGCTTCATCTTACTGCATAGTGAGTCCAAACATCTACGGAGATGCTCTTTTACTAACTCCATAAAAGCGGAGGAAGAAATGATAATCTCTTCATCGGCGCAATTGGCGAATCCCCTTTCTTCCCAACACAACCCCTCGTACCAGAGTTAGAATGGCAATTCGATCGTTATGCGAATTCGGCGGGTTGCGGATCAGCAGGTGATGTACTCGCGTGCTTGAGAACTCAAAGTACAGCGGTTCTTCAAGCTGCTAATGTTGCATCTCCTTATCCCGGACAGAGTGGAAGTCCGCTTTTTTATTGGACGCCAACTATTGATGGGGATTTTATAAGGGATTATCCTTATGTGCTTTTTGAAAAGGGATTGTTTGTTGATTTGCCGATTATGTTTGGAGGTTTGTTGTTATATCTTCTCTGATTTTCACAGAGATATATACTGACCAATTTTAACATATAGACGTAACAAATGAGGGTTCAGTCTTTGCCCCCAACGCTGCCTCTTCAAACGACATATCTACCTTTTTCAAAAACAACTACCCCGGTCTCACCTCCGCAGATCTCGATTCCATCAACACACACTACCCCCTCACCACGCCCCTCCCAAAACACAACGCATATTTCCCCTCGGCCTCGGCCGCCTACGGCGAAACAACCTTCATCTGTCCCGCACTCTTCATCTCCACCCACCTCGCCACCTTCAACACCGCCAAGCAAGTCTGGTTCTATCGTTTCAACGTCCAAGACACGGATAACATCTCTGCCGGCCTCGGCGTCCCGCACGTCTTTGAACTCCCTGCCATTTTCGGACCTGGGAACACGCAGACCGGTGACGGAGGTAGCTATCTGAGTTACAATCGACAGATTGTGGGGGTCACGATGAAGTATTGGATTGGGTTTGTGAGGGAGCTGGATCCGAATCGGGGGAAGGATGCGGGGGCGCCGCATTGGGAAAATTTGGGCGAGGTGCGTGCGGTGGGGAGATTGAGGAGGTTGAAGATTGAGACGAATGGGACGGGGATGGAGGAGATTGAGGGGGGGTTGGTGGAGAGGTGTAATTTTTGGAGGGGGTTGGCGGGGAGGATGGAACAGTAGTTTTCTATGGGTTATGGTATGGGGGGGTTTGGGTTGGGATCTCGGTGATTTGGGATGGTGATGGGATTAGCAAGAAGATTTCACGGGGATTCTGTAATGGGATTAGGTACTCGGATGGTTTCCACTACTCATATCGTTCAGAGATGTGTGTCAATGATGCTTTACGGGAATAGGATTCCGGAACTCGGTGGGTTTACAGGTGCGTTGCATTGGATTGGAGTCATTCTATGAATTAGGGATATCTCGCATTACATTTCTGGCATGCATGATATTCGTACTTGCATATTGATAATCAATGGTTTTCGACTTCAAGCGCCTATGATGAGTTCGATACGATGCTGCACGAAAAGAAGTGATGAGAAGAGACAGGTGAGACGGATAACTTTGTATAGACACCCATTCTGATGATGCGCGAGCACTTAAAATGGATATGATTTTGCACTTTTCATAAAGATACATGAAGAGCTCATTTTCACCCACCCAATAGAGTAACTTTCCAATCCTCCTCCTCCTCCTCCTCCTCCTTTCTCGCTTCACGTTGCAGCACGCGGATTCACACACAATACCAGAAATGGAGATGTATGTGGCAGGTAATATACCTGCACAGGATGAGGTCTAGTAAACGAACGAAGAGATCTAGAACATAGATGGGTCAGTCATCGTTGGTTCTTGATGGATTTGGGTGTTTTTTATGGGGATGGAGTGATGAGATCTGTGTGTTGGAATGATGTAAGTGGCATGGAATTTGAAGTTATGTTAGAGGAATGATGAGATTTGACCGTGATATCTATCATGAAGAGGGGTTAGTTGAACAGCATTTGTATAGTTGCTCATAGGATAATAATATTTTTTATCGGAAGTAGAACTCTTGATGTCAGTCTAATGAAGCTAAGAAAATAGTGTAGTTGGGGAAGTCTATGATCGTCTAACACTCCTACATCTGAAAATTTCCCACCCCAAATTCATAATTCACACCTTACAATTTACTCCCCTCAATCTTCGCCGCAGCTCTCTTTGGTGGCCCCCCAACTCTTCTCTTCCATTCTTCGGAAAATGTCTGTTTCTCAATCAAGCTCTTTTTAGTCCATTCCATATACTCTTCCTGCTCTCTTCTCCACCTCTTTAATTCTTGTCCTATCCAGGGAGTCAAAGCATCTGCACATTGGACTGTTGCTTCTTGCGCCACAAGATGACCGATTCCTTCCAGAACGACCTCTTTGACTTTTCCTTCTTTAGCCCCTCCGCTTCCTCCGTGTCCAGTGCCCGTCATCGACATTTTTTCAACCCGAGAATGGGGATAACAGACGTCACTTGTAGCACCGTAGATATAAAGAACCGAGGGACGGAGTTGCGGAAGTCGTAGAAGCGTATTGATTGGTTCTGGGCGATAGAAAGGATATTTTGCTGGACTGGTCTCGTGTAGATCCGGGATGAGATCTGGACGGATAATAGTCTTACCATCTTCGGAGAAAGCTTCCCAAGTTGGACGCATGAAGGAGAAGCATTCTTGGTGTTTGGTTGTGGTTAGGGTTGTGCTGCCTGATGGCTCATTGGGGTAGATGGCAGTCGGAGTTGAGCGGATGGCATATTGACACCAGCGGTCTAGGACGCGGGAATCCCATTTTGAGTATGCTTTTGATTTTCGGAAGGCAGCTTCAGCAGCGGCACGAGAAGGCCAGAGGTCACGACGGAAGGTGGAGAGTTGATTGGGTGAAACAGTATTGGAGGGGGTAGATGCATATTGTTGGATTACAGGATCGAGCATTATAAGGGTGGTTAGAAGACGGGGGTGCATGAGGGAGAGGTTGGTGAGCATATTGGCGCCGAAGGAATGACCGATTCCAATTATGGGAAGAGGCATTTGGGAACGGTAGGTATTGACCATGTGGAGAAGATCCCGGGCGTGATCTATCCATGATGCTGGAAGGTGTTAGATAGTACTGGATATGATAAGGATTCGTAGAAACAAGTTATTACAAGTGACTGAAAGAGAGCCGTGATATTAGGGACACACATGAATTGTGTTTCGATTTGCATGTAAAGGCCCTAGTAGGGATTCTAGTCTATGTCACAAAATCGACTCCTATGCGTGCAACTTGCAAGCCCCTCCGCCCACACTTGTAGGTTCCGAAGGCCTACATTTCTGGATCATAGCTGACACCGCCGTGATCTAATAAAAAACAATTCATCAGTCAAGAAAACTAGCACGTACGATCATTTCCCAATAACTGCTCATTTAGAACGCTACTAGCGCCTTCGTGGGCTAAATCTGCTATCCAAATACTTCGTATCTTAAAGCCATTAGCGTTTGCGCGTGCATGAACATCTTCCCATAAAGGCTCATATAATTCCTATGAATCTTTAGCTTATGTGTCTGTTCAAATGCATGGGGAAAGTCTACCTTTGGATAACCATTTGCATGAGCACCAATTATAGTCACATCTCCTGGTTGTGGATTGGGATTATCTCGAGGGATATATTGTTTGATTGCGAGATGTAACACATCTTCTTGGGTATTTGAGGTGGCACGAGGGTATTCCCTGATGTGTTGACATTCCAGAGTGTGTTCCTTTATCTCAAAGACTGTGGAGTGCATGATGGGGTAAATGTGGGGGGTGAACCCTTTTTTTGTTAGGTCAGAGGAAGATATATGTGTAGATATATATACAGGTTGAAGGCACAGCAAAGAGAATCAAGTATCGATACTCTTTGAGTTTGAATGGAAGAATTGTATGTAAAGAACTGAACATTAGGTTCTATTCATGGAGGACGAAACATACATAGATCTGAGTACCAAGCCGGCATGCATTACAAGCCTCGGCCCCAGCGCGGTAACACTAGGTTAGCGGTAAAAGGGGGAAGCGGGAAATAATTAGCACGTCGTAGTTTTTAGTATAATTGACCAATTACCATTTACCATTTACCATTTACCATTTCCCATTTACTATTTGGCTGAAACATCTCGAATAATCTTAAACACAAAGTTCCCTATGAATAGAGTCTTATCGATATTGCGAAAACCAACCCCGAGACTCCTAGATTTGTAAAGGTTGATCGAAGTGAAGGAGGTGTAAGCTCACACGTGATTACCTGTCAAATCCAATCAGTTAGCCCCTGTCATTTTAGCGTGTTTTCTCAAAGTACGTGATTCTAGAAACGCGCATCAATCCGCGTATGTCGATTTTGTAGATCAAACACAATTTCAACATTTCGACATTTCAACATTTCAACATTACAACAAGCAAACATTGTAGCAGTATTTATTAGCAAGGCTCGAGCCAATTTATTGCACTTGTTGCTACATTTCATACACTCTTTCTATTGTGCATGTAGATTTGTATCTCAATATGGCTGAAGTAGAAAGTGGCGCCGCTCCCCTTCCCCTCTTCGATAGCTGTGCTATCACTATCATTTTGAGCGAAGAGCTTCCAATACCTCAAGCAAGACAAGTATACCTCGCAAAAACCATCCATGATGTTTTTTTGTGTATACTGACATGAATTGGTAGTTAAGAGAAATTCTTGAGGACAATGGTGCTTCGGCAGAAATTAAGAAAACAGATGATGGCTTGAACTTGGAGGAAGTTACCCATATCATCTCTACTACAACCGACTTTGCATGTTACGATAAAGCAGGTCTCTTGCTTGTACCAGTCATTACACCTGAATGGGTAACACAATCTCTCAGCAGACGCAGACAAGCACCGATTCGTCCATACACTCCAGATGAACGATATATCTTTTCCAATGTCCACCTTACATGCGCAGATATTCCACAGGGCGATAAAGTTGCGATAATTGGTGCTACATGTGCTATGGGTGGCATGGAAAGTAATAGCTTAACTAAATTGGTCACTCATATTTGTGCTCTTAGTATGGATCATCCAAAGTGTCAGGCGGCGAAGGACAAGGGGTTAAAATGCAAAATCGTCCTGCCACAGTGGTAAGTGTTTCGATTTTGACAGATATTCTAAACTAATCAAATGCAGGTTTGATGATTGCTTAAAATTAGGAAGACGCATAGACGAACGTCCATATTTGCTCCCAAACCCCGAAATATTTCTCTTGAAACCCGAAGATAGTCTGCCAATACCTTCCTCCTCACGACTTGAAGGTGCTACTGCAGCGCACTCAAATATGCTCGAGACTCCAACTGCTTCCCCTATACAACGTAAACTGGATGTTTTCAAGGATAAGAAGGTGATGTTGTCCAAAGACCTGGACCTTGGAAGCCGACTCACCAGATTACTCTCGGATCTCGTCGAACATGGGCAAGGTACAATCACAAACTCAGTACGTCAAGCTGATATGTTCGTTTGTAATTACCGGGAGGGCAGAAATTATGTCATTGCCTCTCGATCACCTTCAACTCACGTGGGTAATCTTTCATGGCTTTACTATATGATTGCTCACAACACATGGACAAATCCTACTCGCAGACTTCTTCACTACCCTATTCCGAAAGGAGGTTTGCCAGGTTTCGAGAACTACAAGATAACTCTCTCTAACTATGGTGGTGAGGCACGCATCTACCTTGAAAACTTGGTGAATGCCGCTGGTGGCGAATTTACAAAAAGCATGAAGCAAGATAACACACATCTGATCACAGCTCGACAGGCTAGTGAAAAGTGTAATGCAGCTGCTGAATGGAATATTAACATGATCAATCACCTTTGGCTTGAAGAAAGTTATGCCAAGTGCGAGGTTCAGATATTAACGAATCCTCGTTATATTCATTTCCCTCCAAGAACAAATCTTGGTGAGGTTATTGGCCAAACCCAATTTGATCAAAAGGCCTTGGAAAAGAAATACTTTCCCACAGATCCTACACCAGGTCCAAATAGTCCAAAGCCTTCGAAAATGAAGAATTTGACAATTCGAGATCGGGATGTAGATGGTGATGGAGATCACGATATGGATGGCGAAACTGAAGATGAGGGAGCTGAAGTAATTGCACCTCCTCCGAAACCTAAAGCCAAAGGCAAGGGGACTTCTACAAACTCCACAGTCTCTACAAATGTTCTTTCTACACCGGCTAGCAAGAAGCGCACATCTTTGGACAAAGAAAATGATACCCCTTCATCGACTAGTAGCCGAAGTGCTAAGAGTAAAGCAATCAATGCTCTTCATCAATTGGCCCCTGATATTGCAAAGTACGAATTAGAGAAGAAGAGAAAAGGGCATGTATTTGGGGGCGATCGGGCTGCGAATAAAATCGAGAGGGAACGAGATTTGCAACGCAATTCGAGTCCAGTGGTAAAACATCAAGAAGATGATGAGGATAGTGACAGTGGTAGCGATGAGGTTGATGCTCGTCCATTAAAGAAGGCGAAAACTGCATTAAAACCAGAAGTCCAAGTTCGCATGCTTGTTACTGGTTACAAGGCTTGGTCCAATCCGGATGCGCCAACTAAGGAGGATACAGATACTGTAAGTTGATCCCTCTATTATTTCACGGCCATTACTAAAATGCATTAGAAAAAACTACGTAGTCTTGGTATTTCCCTGTGGACTGGTTATGGAAAAGTCAACATTATGGCTGCACCCAAAATGGTTCGAACTAGGAAATTTCTTGTCGGTCTTGCACATGGACCTACCGTCGTATCAGAGAAGTATATTGAGGCTTGTATCAAAGCCGGAAAGATGCTGGACGTCGAAGACTTTCCATTGGTGGATGCAGAAAACGAAAAGAAGCACAGTGTCAAGTTGAAGGATGCTTTGAAACGTGCGACAGTTAACAAAGGTCGACTTCTAAACACGATTCCAATATACTGCACTGTCGACATCGACAATGGCGTTGAAACTTATCGGGAAATTGCAGAAGTCAACGGCGCCACTTTTGGTACTTTCAAAGGACGTCCAACTATCAAACCTACCAAGCCGGAAGAAGATGATGGACCCCCAGAGCCAGTTTACTTAATCAGCAGCGACAAGAGATCTGAACAAGCTCTCTATTCAAAGTTCGAAGAAATGGCTAAGGCGGGAAATATGGAGCCGAGGATTGTCAAAGTGGAATGGTTGTTAGATGTTGCTATGTCTCAACAAATCAAGTGGGACAAAAAGTATTTGCTGAAGCGTTAATTTGAGGAAGTGGATGGTGAAGCTTCAATTAATGTTCTTGCTGGCGATTAGGGATAGCGATGTATTCATATACCTTTTGGACTTTTTGGTTGGACGGACGGATTACAAAAGAAAAGAAGCGATGTCCTTTGCAGGCTGGAGGTATTTTGGGAGCTAGATGTAATATTGATATGTAGGGTTGTATTTTAGCTTATGAGATACGTATACCACGAATTTTGTGTATAATGAGTGTTTGTTATGTATTGCTTCTTCTGAAAGATCTGTCTAGAGAGATGGTACAGTATCTTTAAGGGATTTTGGTGAATTATATATCAATATATTTGGGGTATCATGGTTCCTATCTTTCTATGTCTACAATCTTCATGTTCCTGACTCCGTAATTTTCTCAGAGCGCTCGATACTCAGATCACAAAATCTCCCACTAAGTGACGAGATATGTATCGTAGCTCAGGCATACATAACAATATAGAATACAAACATTACTCCTAACTCCTTTCATTCCTTTCCATCCATCAGCGTCGGCGTAGGGACGTCGCCGAGCCCCTCCAAAAAAGCATCCGCCTGTTTTTTCGCCCTCTTCTCCCCCAACACCCTCCTCCTCTCCTCAATCTCTCTCTTCCTCTTCTCCTTCAGTCCTTCCCTCTCTTTCCTCCCCCTCTCCGTCTCCCTCCTCATCCTCTCCAAATTCTCCATCTCCTCTTTCCTCATCTCCTCATCCTTCGAAAAACTATAAAACCCCTGTCCTTTACTCCTCACCTCCTTATCCGCCTCGTAATGTTTCATTTCCGGCGGCGTCGCACTCCTATCTCTCTTCTTGGCCAACTCCTCCATTTTCTCCGCGGTTTCGGAATCCAGCGTCGATGTAAAAGCAGATGATTGGATGGTATCGCCGTAGATGAGTTGAGAAGGCTGAGCAGGACGAGCGGACATACGCTCTAGTTCTTCTGCGCCAAGGAGGGCATTCCTGCGCTGACGCTCGAGACGCTGCGCTTCTTTTTTGGTTACCTGGCGGAGACGACCAAATTCGTCTTCATATTCGACGAGTTGGTTATCTTCTGCGTTTGAAGCGCCGCCGCCAAAGGAATCATCGCTATCGGAGTCTTCATCTTTTTCACCTCCTTCAACCCATTTGCGATCGAAATCTACAAGTCCTTCCGCTTCTTCATTTTCATCTCCATCTCCGTTTCCGTTTCCGAGTCTATTGTGATCACCGCGTTTCAACCGCGAATAAATCTTTGCTTTTTCAGCAAGTCGTTTTTTACTCCTGTGAAGCGTACTATCATCTATTCTTTCCCCCTGGCCAGTTTTTCGAATCTGGGTATATATATTTCCATCCTCATCATCTTCCAAATCTTTTGCGGCGCGTTTCTTGGTTCCTTTATTATGTGTTTTAAAGATGTCTTCTTTAGTTTTGGAGGGACGAGGACGACCGCGGGTAGTGGATGACGATGAAGACTCCTGCGTCTGAGAAGCGAGAAGTGATGAGAGAGTCGAGGAGAATGCTAGGTTTGTGGAAGAGGATAATTCTTTGGCAGAGGAGGAGTGAAGCTTAGGTTTTTTGAAATTGTACAGATTATTAGGGTCGTTGGACATTTTGGAGGAATTATTGTTGTAGTTGTAGTTGAAGGATAGTTGTAGTTGAAGGAGAGATAGATGGAGGGAATGCGATCATCGAGTTGATGTATATTCTCGTAAGGCTGAGGGAATCTGGGGAGCTCGAAATCGCGGCCTCGTTCATCTGTAATTGACCAATAGAAATTAATAAAGTGGATATTGGAGAGAGGGGTATCAATATGTGCGAGATCGGATCATTGTGCATAGAAACAACCCCACCACCTGCAATCCTTCCGTGATTGCTCATTATTCATAACATTTTGATTCTTCAGTACGAGCAAGACATTTAACCTTTAAACCCAAATAATCTGCAATTGATCAATCTTCTATCCTCAATCTTAATCATCCACAAATCAAGTCAACATGGTAGCCAAGGAAATTTACGTTGCAGTCATTGGTATTAATCTGCAATCTTTGATAGTTTTAACATGAGCTCTATTTAGCTAATACTTGGTTAGGTGCTGGTGGTGTAGGAAAATGCTTTCTATCTCAACTTGAAGCTCTTTCTCAACGATTTACTTCATCCAAGATATCCCTCATCTTCGTTTCAAGAAGCAAGAAAGTTCTCTACAGCCCAAAATATACTCCTCTTTCATACTCCAACCTCTCAAATACCCTCGCAGACTCTACACAAGAACCACTCTCTTTGCCAAAGATCATTGAATACTTAGCAGCTGCACCTGCAAAGGTCGTCCTTGTCGACAACACAAGTTCGCAAGATGTCGCAGATGCATACCCACAAGTTTTGTCCAAAGGAATCTCGATAGTCACTCCCAACAAGAAGGCGTTTTCCGGATCATATAAATTGTGGCAGGATATCTTCTCCGCAGCTTCCTCATCCGGAGCTAAGGTGTATCATGAGAGTTCGGTTGGAGCTGGATTGCCAGTTATCTCTACTTTGAAGGAATTGGTCGACACAGGTGATTCCGTAACTAAAATTGAAGGTGTCTTCAGCGGTACTATGTCCTTCTTGTTTAACTCGTTCGCTCCTACCGAAGGTTCAGGAGGAAAGTGGTCTTCCGAAGTCGCTAAAGCAAAGGAGTTGGGTTACACTGAGCCAGATCCAAGAGATGATTTGAACGGACTGGATGTCGCCAGAAAGTTGACAATTTTGGCAAGATTGGCAGGTCTCGAGGTAGAATCCCCAACTTCATTCCCAGTCCAAAGCTTGATCCCCAAGGAATTGGAGAGCGTTTCAAGTGGAGAGGAATTCCTTCAAAAGTTGCCAGAGTTCGATTCCCAGATGGAGGAAACAAAGGTTGCCGCCGAGAAGGAGGGTAAGGTTGTAAGATTCGTTGGTAGTATCGATGTCGCAAAGAAGGAAGTGAAGGTGGGTTTGGAGAAATTCGACAAATCTCACCCAATTGCTGCCCTCAAGGGAAGTGATAATATCATCAGCTTCTACACGAAGCGATATGGATCCAATCCATTAATCATTCAAGGAGCTGGTGCTGGAGGAGATGTCACAGCAATGGGTGTCACAGGTGATCTTATTAAGGTCCTCGAAAGATTGTCTTGAAATCATGTTATAATACCATAAAAGTTGTTTGCTGTTCAATCGTCTACTATCGCGCCGCTATCTTTTCGTGGTTGCGCTGCTTCCTCTGTTCCCTTCTTTATTCCCTCAGCTTTGTCCTCTAAGATGTCTGCTATATTGACTGTCCCATTCACTGAGGGCATTGTTAAGATTCTCGGTCGTCCTTGGCCATTCGGTCGTTCGCTCAAGCTCGGTGCACGCGGTCGTGGTCTATCTCTTGCCCGCCCACCAAAATAAGGCATTTCATGGTGTATTAAGCGGAAAAGGTAGAAAATAATATCGAAGAGGAGAGTCAATAGCCATGGTCCTATGCACAGTATACCCAGTACAAACTATGTATGATATTAGTTCAGTGATTGAAGTCCTTGGTTCCAAATACCTACAAACGTGTTTCTAGCCCACACTTCGATAAACGCTAGACTTTCAGGAAGAATTGAGAACCACGGCATGTTATATGAAAAGACTCCTAGGGAGCGAAGATCAAAAACTCCCTCCTTGACGTTAAAAGATTGAATGAGCGATAATGCTGAGAATCCGTATGCAGTTCGTGTTCCTCTCTGGAAGCTGTAAGGAAATGCTGGCTGTTTGGTAAAGATGTAGTCGACAAGTACGAGCTTCTCGAACCAGGATGATATGGGAGTAAAAACTGAATGGTCGGTCCTTTCACATATCGATATATGGAATTTGAGAGGAATGGAGAGACAGCAATGAGAAAGAACGAAGAATGAGGGATGGAATGGCTTAAATGCTTCAATGCTAATGGTGCAAGCACATACCTAAAGAGATTGTATGCAATTGCATCGGCCTCAAGCCAAGAGCTGGATTCAAGTAATGGTATTGGTAACGAATGTGGATTTCATTCCTTGATGCAATTCTCGAGGTTTTGTTACAATTTATGGTAATATTGTAATTGTAATTTATTGAGGTCGTCCTTCATAATGTTTTGATAGAATAACCTGGGGGTGGATAATGTTGTTATCGCAATCAGAATACTGCGGTGGCCCAAGATGACGATTAAGGTTACTAGGGGTAGGGGTAGGTACAGAGTATCATTGTGTCAATCGTACATACCCATGGACCTTGTACTTCGTAGCTTTGTGTTTGGGTGCTCCACAAGAGTTTAATATAAATGTAAATATAATAATTTAGTAAAAAGATTGCTAAAATGCTAAAAATCCATAAACTCACGGCCTCCGGTTAACTATTAACTAAATTGGGCTAAAATGGAAAGGAAAAATCCACCATCCACTAACATTTTATTTGGTGCATTTGAGATTCCTTGCGGAAAAAAAGTTCAGCCTTGAGCTTTTTCCGTCATGCTAAAGCCTCGTTTGAACCACAACCACAGCCTCCCATCTTTTCGGACATTCACGATTCCATTATATCAAAGAAGATATCGTTGACTGTCAAGAAATTTGGGAAGTTCTACGATCAACATGGCAGGCCCACCGAACAAAAAGCAGAAACGGGAGGATTACAGAACTGCGAGAGAAAATGGCGAGGAGAGTAAGGAATTGCCAAAGAAGAAGTTCTACAGACAGAGAGCGCATGCAAATCCTTTCTCGGATCATCGTCTGGCATAGTACGTCCGCTTGCCATTGCCATTGTAAGAGACTTCATTGACTGGTATTAGTCCCGCTTCCCCAGCTCAGATGGATTGGGCTTCGCATTACCCCGCCTATGCAGAGTCCGCAACGGCTTCTGAAAGCACAGAAGAACCTTCAACAGTTTCAGACTCTAGCAGTCTCAAGAAGATGAAGCAAGACGTTGAAGTTGCAGACATTGGTTGTGGATTTGGTGGTTTGACAGTAGCTTTAGCTCCCAAATTACCAAATTCTTTAATTCTTGG